GCCCAGTTTCAGTGTCGATGGTTTTTCACTTCTCATCATTATCATTATAAGAAGTTTTCTTGCCGCTACTGGCATGTTGTACCACTTTGTATTATATCTGCAAATTTTGTAAGAAATCTATTAGAAATTATATTAGGTATTTATCTACTTGCTATTTCATAACATTTTTATCAAATAATATGACATATAATTTACAAATGTGTTACTTTATTGTTGTACAAAACGTACGCTGATTTAAACACTTTCTCACTGGAATCTACAATTTTCTGACCCTGCCAATTTTCGAACAATACATTAAGCAAAAGTCCATTTAAATAAACATAATTATTTATATCTCCGCTAACGTTTTCCATGTTGTTTACTATCTGTTAATCAAAACGTAATCAAACGTAAATAATAAGTGTAGTTAATTTAGTTAAATTAAAATATAAAAATATTCAAAGAGATGACTATGAAAGCAAGCGCGGTAAAAAGTACAACGCGTAAAAACATCATTAGACAACATTAATTTAATTAAAAAATTAAATTATACATATATAACGACTGTTTCGGCTTATATGCAAGCCACCCTCAGTGACGCAGACAATACATAATAAAAAATTAATTTATTTCAATTTGATGCTCAAAATGTCCTGATCAAGAAATAATCAAAGTGCGTATGTACGTCAGTGTCCCACTTCGCACTTGGGTTGTATCTTGTTTACGTACTTTGTATTGATTATAAGATTTAATTCAAATATTTTTTATTATTTATTGTTTAAGCCAGTGAGAAGTGATTTGAATAAGCAAAAACGTTTATTCAAGGTTCGATTGCCACCAATATTATTTTAATTTTAAACTTAAAATTCTTACTTTTCCTTTTTAAAACCGAGAAAAAGGAAGAGATAGAAATAGTTTTAAGCATCGCTTAAATTCAAAGTAATGTTGATATTTGAGATTTTAAATTAAATTCTTCTATTAAATTTTTTTAATTAAATTGATTGTCTAGCGATATTTTTATTTTTGTGCACTTTTTATCTCGTTCCCGTAGCTCCCTTTAAGTTTTATATTTTATTTACTGGAAATTTTTTTAGTGATATTTAATTGGTTTAATTAAATTACAATCAATATTTTGTTAAATAATTTATGTGCGTGATGATGGAAGCATATTCTAGAACTATTATTAATTACAAGAAAATTTTTATTATTTATGTGTACCTGATATCCTAGGAGACTTAAAAGAAGTACAGTCAATGCAATTTGTATAAAAAGAGGTAAGCTGTATATTGATTCCACAATGGCAATAAATCTATAAATAATATAAAATCTAGAAATATATTTTTTAATTTATTGTCTTGGTTATACAAAAGATGAAATATAAAACGTCTTAACGTACTCACTGCAATGCTTCTGTGTGTCTACGAATACTATACACGATATTCACATAAGATTTATCTTTTGTCAACATTATTGTCAATCTTTCGTTTTCGAAAACTAATGCGGTTTCCAATCGATATCTAAAACTCAAAAACTTTTAGAAACTACAATTTTTGAAATACGTATTCCCACAACAAATAAATTGTCTCATTATTTATATTGAACTCAAATATTATAGAATTTGTGTACTTAATTTATAATCCTTCATTAGGCTCACCTCAAAGCTGCAAACAAACCACAGCAATATTCGACCATCGTTAAATACAAAACATCGATTACAGTTAATAAAAACATGTACATAAACTCGCATATACTACAATATATGAAAATTGGAACGTAATACGTGTCCAAATCAATCATGGAATTAATGCGAAAAGGTAGTCCTCTTTGCACGTTATTTGAAGTTTCATCAGTCTCCTCGGATTTCACGTACAAAACTCTTGACAGTAATGTCGATAGCAAATAAAGAATACTATGGCCTAGTAAAAGACCTAATTTGCACACAAATTTTCGTGATTTACTATTATTGTCAAAAAGATTATAGTACTTAAGAGAATATAACGAACGGTCTCTGTCCGAAATGAGCTTTTATTATTCTATAGACAAAAATAGAAGATATTTTTTTATATCTGTTGAATCGCATTTTAAAGGGTGGTAACCTTCCTTGAAAAAAATTGATCTTTTTCTTTAGAACCGAATATCTTTGAAACTATAAGAAATAGAAAAAACTTTCCAGAATGAAAATTGAATGACTTCAAGAGTATTTTAGAACTATATATAAAAAGAACTATATAAAAAAATTTTTTTTTTAATTATTTATTTGTGTACTCCCATCCCCACATTTATTTTCAAAAATTTTTTTATTTTTATATGTCGAAAATTAAAAAGCATTTTACATTGAAAATAACGATGTGTATTAAAATTATGTTCCAAAAAATCATTTTTCAGATATGAACGAAATCGTCTCCATATACGCGCTTTGTATGCATTCGTTTCATACCGCAATGGATGCGCGAAATAGCGATGAAGGCAAATACTACACAGTGTAGTATCAGTACAGTAATAACTATTGAAATAAATTTTTTACATAATATTATTAATAATAATAATAATAATATTAGTAATAATAATAATAGTAGCACAACAATAATGACTCTGTTAAATTGCTAAAATTAGTCAAATACTTTTGAAGATATATAAAAGAATGTACAAAATATTTTGAACAATTAAAAACAAAACATAAGTGAAGAACATTTATAAAATTTATTTATTTCACTTTCATTGTAGCAGCTACTTTTAATGTTCAATGTTAACAATAATGTTTTAATAAGAAATAATATAAGAAAAAAGCTTAAATAATTTATAAAATTAAAAATAAATATAGATTTTAACGCTATGATATTATAAAGAAAAAGTTTATTATCACTCTGAATATGAAAATAATTCTGAATATGAAAAATATAATTTACAAAAGATTACAAAAGATTGTATAAATAAAATTTTATTTTGCTTCGAAAGAAAAAGATCGATTTTTTCCAAGGCAAGTTTTCCTTTAAGGTGCGACTCAATAAAAAAATACGTATCTCATGTTTTTGTCCAGAGAACATCATATTAAAAGCTCATTTAAATCGCAAGGGGATCGTGTTCCCTGATAGATATTTTATAAATTATTAGATATTTTATAAATTTTCCAAGTTAAAATGTTCATATTTAAAGATACTATAATATACTGTCTTTCAAAATGACTTAAGAAATGTAATTTATATATAATATGCTTAAAATTTAATTTTGTTGCAGTATATTATTGAACCCGATAATACTACAATATTAAAGTCATATACACCCGTATAAGCGTAGCCTAACTTTCGCCCATGCTGCGCGTGAAAATTCTGTATCTTAGTTTCCTCATCCGACTTTGGAGAAAGCCAATATTCTTGCATCTTTAGTAGAAGTATTTTTATCTATTTTTCATAAAAAGATTTAAATATGAAACATAACTTTTCATTATATATCGAACTTATTATTATTATTTTTTAATTTTTGTATAAAACATTTTTATTTACGTACTTTTGGTAATGTATGTATCGCACATAATATTTTGCTCATGATCAATATAGCAAGAAATAACAACGGTAAATTATCGATCACCTCGAAGAAATTGTGTCTGACCTCAATTATACCCGACAGCTATATTTTTCGTGGATTTTATTTCGCACATGTCATATAACAAATAATTTTAGTTGAATCCAATCATAATTTATATTTGATTTAATTTAATTATGTCAATTTTATATTTGATGAAACAATATAAATAAGGCATAAGATATTTAATCTTCCAAATTTTTTGAAACATAATGCAATAAAAAATTGTAATAATACATGTATACAGTACCCTTTTAAAATACACATTTATTTTCAACTCACCTCTAATATAAATGCAGATCCGAATATCAGCATCAAAATGGTATATATCGTGTAACGCCTACTTCGCGTATGGAAAGGCCATAGACCACTAATATTTAGTAGTAGTCGAATGATGTTATAATGCGAATTCTGAAAGAACTGATCAATATCACTCATTCTGTCTTTTGCTTCTTGCCGTTATTATTACAGAAGCGAAATTCAGTCACCGTAAGATATAGATCATGTCGGTCTCCCATTGAGAAGTCTGTTTAATGTTTGATTGTCGTGAAATCTAAAATATTGCGAACATATTTGCTAACATGCTATGCTGCAAAAAGCAAAACTGCACAGTGTAAAGTCACAAGATTATCTTATAGAAATTGCGTAATTATAGAGAAGAGGAATAATCATACTGAAAATATTTTCTTAGTGGATTCAACACAGACGAAAGAGGTATAAAAATTTTATTCGTAAATTGATTTAATATCAGACTATTATGAGAAGAAGTAGTCGCTTCAAAATCGGCTGCATTAGAAAATAACAGTCTTATGGAGTACAAGCTTATCAAAGGTCTATTGTATTGTATATTACTATTGTCGAGAGTTTTCTATACTTATGTTTTATTAAAGATAAATAAAACGGAGATGGTTTACCAAAAAGATAAAAAAATACAAATATAAGTACATTTTCGTATTTAATAGTTTTTCAGAAATATAGATGATTTACTGTTAGTTAATAAATATTATATTTATTATATATTATTTTTGTATTAATAACAATTTTATATTTTTTAGAAGAAAAATTTAGAAAATTTTAAATTACAGTACGTAAAACTGTGAAATATGAAGCGGATGCACGTACGACCTAAAAAAAAAAGATATATCAAAAATATTAATAAAAAAAGTATCATATAAATGTCATAGTCCGTTCTTAATTCAAAACTGTAATTTAAGATGTTAATGCCTTTATAATTGGCTTGTGACATTTTAAAAAAAGACTGTACTTAAAACTGTCTTAAGTATAAGAACCGTCTATGAACACGCTAAAAGAAAATTATGTCAAGTTTTACCGCGCTGAAACTCGGAAAAGAGAGAATCATGATTTTTCCAACAGTTAACGTACAAGGTGATGTACTTCTCAGCATTATCATATTCAAAAGCTTTTTGGATTTGAGCGATGATTCATACCATTCACCTCGATAACTTATATCAAAAATTTTCTCATTATATATCACAAATAGAAAATATTTAGAGAAGCTATTTTGTTTTGTACTTAATATTTACACGATGTGTATTAAGTTTATTAGCTAGTAACTGCGTATATGCTTTCACTTACGTCGATGTATACACCCGATCGCTATGATCGATTATTTGCTGTCCTAACCAGCATACGATATATAAATGCAGTAATTGAGCAGTAATGTACGAGGCATGCCGGATTGCAAGATGTGGGTTGATGGTCCTACTAGTTGCCTAAATGTTCAAAAAATTGTGCAATATATGTTATCACATTATTATAATATATATTGATTTTAAAAATATTTAATGTTACGCTGTGTCAAAAACAAACCTGTAGAGCTGACATACTCATCGCCAATATGATTAAACCGACTTCGAAGAAAAAAGCTTTTGTATAAATAGCATCCAAGCCTCTCGCGAATCTTGTTTAATGAAAGAGTTTGATAATTATGTTTTATTAACTCTTTCTTTAAAGTACATAAATAAAAAAAATTCTATATTTCTTGTAATATGCAAAAGTATACACTAACCGTAAAACGTCTCTGTGTTTTTGTATGCAATATGTGAAGTTTTTGTAAAACTTATCATTTTCCTCGAGCAAAGCAAGTTCCTTATCTTGCTCGATGGACTTTCGTATAAACTCTAATCGATATCTATGAAACAAAATAAAACATTCGAGTTTTTTACAATGAGATGGCAAAGATTGTAAAATGCTAAATGGGGTGAGCCATACCTCATTCGAAAAATTGCATATACTCTAGCACTGTAAAAAGGTTTTAAACATTTTTACGTTAATTTTTATCCACAAAATCGGGCGGGTATAAATAGTTAAAACTTCAAGAAATCTTTATTTATTGTTACATGTAAGAAAATGTGCAGTTATTAGTATTTTATTTTAAAAAGTGTAAGAAAAATAAATTACATCATAAAATGTAACTGTTACATAAAAAAATTGATACTGCGAAGGATTCAAACTCTCGTTGAAGATAAGAAAAAATATAATCATTCAATTACGCCGTTTTATTATGTCTGTGTTAGTCATTTTGTCAGAATAAAAAATCAAAGTTGTGCTAGATTGTGCTTGTGCTAACTTGAGTCGCAAATTGTAGTTCAATGACACAATTAATGCATTAAAAAATCGCAAATTAAGAACTAGATTCGAATTAAACAATGGATATTCCAAGCAGATGGAATTCTACTGTCTAGGATGTATAGACAGTAGTGAATTGGTTCGAGGTGACTATGCCGGGCCGAACAAAAAAGATATCCCACTTGGAGCCTAATCGCCTAAAAGTTGCAGCGTAGACAGTGTCCGCTTAGACAATATCCATCGTTTACAATTCGAGTCTAGTTATCTTAATTTGCAATTTTCTAATAAATTAATTGCGTCATCGAATTACAATTTGCACCACTTAGCACAAGCCTAGCACAATCTAGCACAACTTGAATTTTTTGTTCTGACAAAATGACAGTGCTGGACCTTAAAAACAGATTTTTCCAATTTGTTTCATTTTTTGAGATATCGAACTGCGGTTTGCGGCATAACGTAGCACAAGCCTAGCACAATCTAGCACAATTTTGATTTTTTTGTTTTTCAATATGCCGATGCTAACTTCACATGGATATTTATTACTTATCATTTTATTACTTACTGACATACAGTTTTTAATACTGTATATACAACTGATCATCAAACTTTAACTGTAATTTTCTTAGAATCACAAACTTTTACAGGCAATTTCAAATAAGCTATGGCTCATCTCATTTAGCATTTTACAATTTTTGCTATTTCTTTGTTAAATTAATTTATTGAGTCGATTATTCAAGTCGTTAACTCTTTATTAACATGATTGGATTGTGTCCTGCACGTTTTTTTTAACTAGAAGCATCAAGTAATTAATTATAATACTTTATATATGATTTTTTAAAATATATAATCTTATAAATAAATATTTTTTAAATACATTAAGATATATATAAAAACTTAAAGATTTTTTTTATATTGTTAAAATAATAAAAATTAACTTGAGACACGAAAGATCGTGTGTAGTAAAGGACTGAAAAATAATCGAGTACTAACAATAAGTTAAATACCTCACAACTGAAAACAGTGCGCAACAATGTTGCACTAGAATAGTCACGAGGGTATCGGTAGCAACTAGGGTAGTAAGACGAATGGCAGTAGCTAAGTAATTATGAATCAATATAGGATAGTAGTACTTTTCGAGATCTACGTAGTATTCCACATGATATGGAAATCCCACTGGCCGCGTCGAATATTCAGAAGTTACGTTTTTGCCGATTATTTTCGGAATTATTGCAAGAAATGGAAAAAGGCTGCCAAACGCATACATACCACCTAAAAATCAGGCAATACTTCAAAAGAAATTACATATTTGTGTATTTGGAAATACTGTTGAGTATATGGAAATATTTATATAAAAATAAATGATTTAATTATTTTTTTCGTTAAATAAATTATTTTGGAGTATATACTAATTTTTAATAAATCTTATCTGTCAGTATCTGTGTGGCTACTATACATCATGCAAACATAAAATTTTAATTATTATTAATGAAATTATTAATGAAATTATTAATTAAAATAGTTATTATGATCGAGATTAGTTTTAATATATAGTATAT